GAGGGTTCACAGAAATTCTAAACCCTAAGCGTTTAGGACTTCTGCATAACTATGAACCGAGGTTCTGCTTGTAGCCCGGCGGGCAGCTCACACATTGGTCGTCCTTTGTCAGCTCTTTCCTTGGAAGCAGCGTTCGGGTTTAGAGGTTCGGGTTTAGTGGGGTCCGCGCCCAATATGAGGGGCTTCTGCCCACATGTGATCCCAAACCCTAAACCCTAAACCCTAAACCCTGGATGACCCGTCCAGCCCTCTGAACTTTTTTCCTAAAGATCGTCCTCTTACACCCAATAAGGGAAAGTATGAGAATGTCCCAAGGGCCTACCGAGTAGAGTATAGGGCTTAGGAAAATGGGTGGGTTGTGGGCCCACCTTGATCCCCTACGACCCTCCGACCGCAAATCATGACTGGGCCTCTCAAAATCCCTGAAACCCTAAACCCGAAACCCTAAACGACACCGCAACACCAAACCCAAAGCAAAACCCAAATGCTCGAATAGGCCAAGCTGCTGCGGACGGCACTTCTCGCATTTCCCGCCCTCGCCCTCCGAGCATGTGAGCCTGCAGGCGCAGAGCAAGTCGTGGGGCTGGGGCTTGGGGCTTTGGGATTTAGGATGCTGGGGTTCTTCCGACACCCGAAACAATAAACCCTGGTCTTTGTGCGTTTGGTTGTGCTGAGCAATATGAGGCTGTGTCTGGGGCGGGGGGGGCAGGCCGTACAGCTTTTCCTAGGATGTCCTGGCCCTAAACCCTCAACCCAGAACCCTACTCTCAAAACCCTAAAGTTCGATCTTGATCTCAGACGAGCGGCTCGCGGCATTCGGAGGACGCGGTGAGCGCAAAGCCCTTTTGGCAGGTGCCGCATTGACCATCACGACTCCTGGCCTGGGCTTTGAGGTTTTGGGTTGAGGGTTGAGGGTTTAGGGTTGAGGGTTGGGGTTTAGGGTTAGGGTTTGGGTGGTTATTTGGGTAGAGGACGTCTTCTGGAGGAGTTTTCCCAGGTGAGCTACCAAATCTATGCAACTTCTATGGGGTATGTACAAGGATGAGGTTCTACAAGGAGAAGTGTTGATAAGGGAGTTAAGGGCTACCTCATGAGGCCTCATACATCATTTGAGCCCAGGACTAAGTAACATGTCCTCAACATGTCCCAAAGGGAGTACGTAGGTTCAAGTAGGGATCGTAGTTATTCCGAGGGAACATTTTTCGTGGATGTCAAGTTAGGGCTTGGGGTTTGAGGGTTTGAGGGGCTACATGTCCGGGCACGCTTGGGGCTACATCCTCTGCCCCGACCGTGGTATAGCAGAAACCCTAGACCCTAAACCCTAAACCCTAAACCCTATTTCGAGAGGTACCCCTATTTGGAGTTCACAGCTGGGAGGTGCGAGCTGCTGGGCGCAGGGGCTAAGGGGGTTGAGGGTGCTTAGGGTTTTGGGGTCGGGGGTTTAGGGTTTAGGGTTTAGGGTTTAGGGTTTAGGGTTTAGGGTGTTGGGGTCTGAGGTTTGGGTGTTGGGGTTTTCGGGCGTAGTTTGGGTGCTCGGATTTGGCCGCCGCAGCTTCCTGCAGCGGAGGTGCATGAGTGGCGAGGCACTGGTAGCAGCCCGGGATGTATTCCTGGATTCTGGCTGGCCCTAAAACCCAAACCGAGGACCCCTTACACCCTAAACCCTAAACCCCAAACCCCAAACCGAGGACCCACAAAGAGAGCCCGCGCTTCACACTTGCTGTTCAAACTCGGCCTGCAAAACATACGGGACGCCATGACACCAAGGAACATATCCTAAACCTAAGCCCTTGGGTCTAGCGGCTCAGGCTTAGGGTTTAGGGTTTAGGGTTTAGGGTTTAGGGTTTAGGGAGATAGGGTACCTGAAGAACCCGAGCATGCTTTCTGGAGGCTACCTAAGAATCATGAATCATAGAACTTAGCAGAAACCTTTAGAGCAGTAACCTCCCAAAAGCCCTATACCCCAAACACAACGATTGAGGGTTTCAGGGTTAGGGGTTCAGGCTCGGTGTCTAGGGAAAACCAGGAACCAAAGAGAAAGAATCTTGGATCGCTACCCTCGCAAACTCGCCCTCTCTCTTTCCTACATCATGAAACAGTATCGCGAACACTACAGAGTTTCGGGGTTGTCGAGTACGGAACCTTGTTGGATCTCTAGTAAGGGCATATGTTCCTTCATGTTTAGGGTACCACCCAGAGACCATATTATGTTCCTTCTGGCTTGGGGGTGTCAAACAAAGCCGAGTGCGGACAAGGCGCTGGATCGCAGGCAAAAGGCTCGCACATGCCAGTGGCCATCAGATTGTATCCCGGGTTGCCTCTGCATCTCGAAGCTAAACCCGAATCCCTAAACCCTAATCCCTAAACCCTAACCCCTAAACCCCAATAAGGGATCGAAACTCCACACCCTTTTGTGGCCTTTGCTAAGCACCCGATGAGCACAAGCCCGAAAACCCCAAATTACTGCAAGAACCTAAACTACTAGCAAACCCTAAACCCTAACCCCTAAACCCTAAACCCCTCTCATCTACTCCGCTAAGCCCTAAGCCCTAAGCCCCAAACCCCCCCTGCCCCCCAAAAAACAGGCACATCCGGTTGTCCACGTTAAGGGAAGCCCTCAACCCTACAAAGGGCAGCGCAGGGGAGCTACTGAGTTGTCCGGTAGTCTACAAAACAAAAGGCTAACCTTGGGGATTAAATAGGGATTGAAACAGGGTGCTAGATAGCAACTGCCGCTTTCGAGATCCGAGGGGTATGAGAAAACTGCCAACTCGCCCGTGGTGTTTTCTTAGGGAAGCCATGGTTTAAGGTTTAGGGTTTTTATACAGGGTTTAGGGTTTAGGGTTTAGGGTTTAAGGATACAGGGCTTCAGTTTCATTCGGGGCCCTTTTGGGGGTACCTGTTTGCGACAGGGGGGGGGGATTGATACCTCTTGTTGAGGGATAGGGTTAGGGTTTAGTACCCTAACCCTAAACCCTAAACCCTAAACCCTAAACCCTGAACCCTAAACCCCAAACCCTAAACCCCAAACCGGGTTACCACCAAGGCTTGAGCGCAAGCCCTTGCGGAGTGCACAGGATTGTGCTCCTCTCTTACAAACATCCAGCATGCATCCAAGTGGTTCTCTAAACCATAGACCCCTAAACCCTAAACCCTAAACCCTAAACCATAAACCCTAAACCCTAAACCCTAAACCCTAAACCCTAAACCCTAAACCCTAAACCCTAAACCCTAAACCCTAACCTAAACCCTAAACCCTAAACCCTAAACCCTAAACCCTAAACCCTAAACCCTAAACCCTAAACCCTAAACCCTAAACCCTAAACCCTAAACCCAAGCCCTTAACCCTAAACACCCTAAACCCCAGACCCCAAATCCCAAACCCTAGTTCAGGACGCGGCTTGTTTGGCTTTGGGGTTGGGATTCTGGAGCTTGCGGCTCTAAAGCGAACTAACCCCAGAACCCTAAACCCTCAAACAGCCTGCAAGTAGGGTTTAGGGTTTTCAGGTTTAGGATTTTGGGTTCAGGAAAGCCTAAACCCTAGAAGCCTGAAAGCCTAACTCCCTTAAACCCAAAAGAAGACCCTGAAGCTATACATGAGACCAACAACACCCCAAAACCCAAAACCCAAAAGCCTCAATAGCCTACAACCCAGAAACCTAGAAACCTAGAAGCCTGAAACCCTGAAGCCTACAACCACAGAAGCCTAAAAAGCCAGAAGCCAAAACCCTGACGCCTAAGACCTGAAGCCCCGAAACCCCAGAAGCCTCGAAACCTAAACCCTTCAACCCGGAAAGCGCCTTGAACCCCAGAGCCTTCAAGACATGCACCTTTAACTCAACCCTGGAAAGGCCACCCCCACCTCTCAGTCCCAAGGCATAGGGTTGAGGGGTTAGGGCTTGTGGGAAAAACATTCCATTCGGTTTCTGTAAAAAAACATGCAGGACCAAGGGCCATAGGAAGAAATGATTGGCAAGTCAACCCACTGAAACTACTACCCTAAACCCTAAACCCTAAACCCTAGACCCTAAACCCTAAACCCTACGTTCCAGACGTTGTGGCAAAATCTGGACTTTCACGGGTTTAAGCAGCCTAGGGGTTCAGGGCTTAGGGCTTTTACTGTAGGTTCCTAAGCCCTAAACCCTAAACCCTAAACCCTAACCCTAAACCCTAAACCCTAAACCTGGGTTTTGGGGCTTTACGGCCTGTCAGGGGGGGGGGGGGTTAGGGCCTTGGTCGGCTTACTTAGGGGGCCGACGAGGTGCACTCGGCACACTGATCATCGGCAGTCCGCGCCTGGTACCGGCAAGGCGGCGCTCTAAACCCGAATCCCTGAACCCCAAACCCTACCCGGGACCCTAATTACCTCCAGGTTTAAGGGTTATACCTATTAAATAGGGGTACTTACTACTAATCTGTACGTAAATCCCAGCTCCCTAGCCCAGGTTCCTGGGAGGATCCGAAATGTAGAGCCCCCAAATAGTACCCTGTACTACTATTGGGTCATTCTTAGGAACCCTTAAGGGTTTAGGGTTTAGGGTTTAGGGTTTCGGGTTTAGGGTTTGTTTAGCCTCGCAAACACGAGACTCCAAAACCACGAGCCCTTAACTTGCGTCTCCAGAATCAGGTCTGTTTAGGGAGACTCTCCTCACGCGAAAAGTCGGCATGTGATATCAAACAAGTGAAACCCCCGAATCTAGGCCACAGGCCACACATGTACATGCTTCTCACTTCCCAAGCCTTGACTCAGACCCCTTTGAACCCTGAAACTCCAAAACAACGAAGACCCCCAAGCCCAACCCCAACAAGTCTCACAAACCCCAACCCTGGTGACCCACCAACCCCCCCCCCCGTCTTAGACCCTAAACCCTGGAGCCCGAAACCTTAAACCCTCCTGAACTTGAACCCTGAACCCTGAACCCTGAGCCCTGCACTGTGAACAAACCCTGAACCCTGAACCCTGAACCCTGAACCCTGAACCTGCTACCGGCCCTCTTGCTTCACAGCACTGAGATGCCAGCACGAATCGCATCCTTGCAACAAGGTCTAACTTTGGTGCGCCCTGAGCCCTAACCCCATATAGACCCTAAATCCACAAGACCCGAAACCCCAAGGCCCCCAATGAACCCTAAACCCTGAACCCTAAACCCTATAAACCCTAAACGGCCCTACTCCCTAAACCCTTCAAAGCCCCCGCACCAGGGTCCCGACCTGCATGTCCCTGCAAAGGCGGCAGGCCCGACCCGGGCCCGTGAAGCAGACGAACTCGCGCTTCTCATGCTGGCGCTTCGCCAGCAAGGCCTCTCCCGCAAGTGCTCCCCAAAATGGAGGGTTTGGGGGTTTGCTGCAAACTTTGCACGCTAGAGAACCCTAAGTTAACCCTATTTTAGGCTAAACCCCATGGAAAAAGGACAGTACATCTTAAAAACCATTAGCCAACAAGCAAAGCACCCCAAAAGAAATCCCAGCGCGGAGCATGGGCCGCCGTGCCTTCACTTCCGCCTGGGTCAGCGCCGTGGGCCGATGCTTCGTCGCAGGGGGCTTCGATGGCGACGAGTCGCCCACCTCAGGTAATCGGGCGGCTGTCGGTTTCCCTACCTACCCCCCCCCCTACTTAGTTGTCCGGTAACCTGGGGGAACTAAAGGTTAACCTTTGGGATTGTAAGGGGATTCTACTACCCCAAAAGGGTTAAAGGTTACCTACTCTACAACTAGGTCTATATTCCCCGCTCTAGGTTCCCCCCTTTAAAAACCTTAATCAGGGTTAGTTCTCCCCAACCAGCCTAGCTTGATTATGGGTGGAACCTGGGAGGTGGGGGGGGGAGGGCAGGGGAACCCATGAGGTTTGAGGCGAAGGTCGGAGGTGCTCCCCTAAACCCTAAACCCCAAACCCTAAACCCTAAACCCTAAACCCTAAACCCTAAGCCTCACAGACTGAACTGCCGACAGCGCGGCCCCTGTCAGCGTCACCTCGTGCTCATCTGGCAGAGACGAGGCCTTGCGAGCCTCTGGATCTAGGACTTAGGGGTTTGTGGGGTTTAAAGGGTTTCGGGCTTGGGGATTGGTGGTCTGGGATTTGGGGTTTGCGGCTGATTTAGGGTTCAGGCTTTGCAGGGTTTAGGGCTTGGGGTTGGGGGAAGACCACCCAGAACCATTCCCGAAACGCCGGTCTAGGAAGGGGGGACGCGGAAGAACTGGAGTGACCCTAAACCCTAAACCCCAAACCCTGAATCCCAAACAAACCCTAAACCCCAAACCCTAAATCCCAAACCCTAAACTCTAAACCCTCAACCCTAAACCCTAAACCCTCAACCCTAAACCCTAAACCCTAAACTCCAAATTCCAAACCCCCCCAAAAGGCCTGGACGAGGAAGAACTGGAGTGCCAGAAGCAACCCCACTCCTGGGACCGGCTGGAAGCTTGCTAGGGTTTAGGGTTTAGGGTTTAGGGTTTAGGGTCTAGGGTTTAGGGTTTAGGGTTTGGGGTTTGGCGTTTGGGGTTTAGGGTTTGGGGTTTAGGGTTTAGCGTTTAGCTTTTAGGGTTTAGGGTTTAGGGTTTAAGGTTTAGGGTTTAGGGTTTAGTCGGGTACGCGCTCTCCAGTTCGCCAACCCCAGGGCCTTAGCCACCCATGGGATGTAATGCAACATTGGTTGTGGATGTTGCCGCTTTTACTAAGAGTTGAGTCGGGCATATAGTACCCACCATTATAGTCCCTATTAAGGTGGGGAACATCATGGCCCCTTTAACCCTCTAGTATTCCGAAGCCACTGTTTGCTTAAGAACACCCCAAAAACACAAAAAGGAATCTTCCCTATAAGGGAAATATATAGGGATGATTCTCTGTGAATCTGTTTAAAGCAAAGAGTCGTATTCAAAAAAAAAACAAACTCGCTTACAGTACTGATATAGGAGAGATGATCTCTGCGAGAATGCCGTCCGTGCTGCTGCCAGCGCCGCCGCTGCCACCTTCACCCTCCTGGCTGGCCTTCTTTTCCGAAACCCTAAACCCTAAACCCTAAACCCTAAACCCTAAACCCTTTCTTCAGCTTCTTCGGTGGGGGTGCATCCTCCTCGGGCTCACCGCTCAGGTCGTTCTCCTCGACGTTCTCACTGGCGCTGGGGCTAACAGGGCCCCATGGGGGGGGGGGGCATGTCTCGAGCGACAAAACAGGCGCGACCTGGGAAAACCCTCAACCCCAAACAGTAAACCTCGGGCCCAGAAGCCCAAAACTCAATGTTGAGCTGGGATCTTAGAAGCTGAAGATGTTGCTGGCTGATCTATGGAAGGCCCTTTCTTAAATGGCCACCACTGGGAGGTTCAGGGTACATTTATAACCCCAATTATAACTGCACTTATAGGCCCCTCAGCCCTCCAAGTCGGTTCTAACACCCACCCCCCGAATATTGAATACTTAATATGTTCTGTCTCACAACCCCCCACCTTAAAGCCCTAATACCCCAAAGTCCAAAACGGTTCAGTTGAGCAGGGCTTGGGGTTGTAGGGTTGTAGGGTGTTTGCGAGCTTTTAGGGCTGCAGGGCTCAGGGGTTTGGGGTTTAGGGTTTTTAGACCCTAAACCCTAAACCCTAAACCCTAAACCCTAAACTTTAGGGTTTAAACCCTTAACCCTAAACCGTTTAGGACCCTTCTTCCAAGTGTCGCTTCATTTACGTAGGTGGCGGCCCAGGAATACCCGAGCCCGAGTCCGCTGCAGCCGAGGGACGGCGACGTGCACAAGGCTTTGGGGCTTCTGGAGTCGGCAGGACTTATTTATAGACTCTCTCCCTATATCTATATATATATATATATATATATGTATATATATATATATGTATACATAGATTTATGTATGTATATTTTATACAAGGATTTGGTGTATCTAGAGGGGGATAGGGTAGGGCGCTTGTGAGGGCTCGGGTTTGTAGAGTGCGGGGTTGGGCAGAAATAGGGTTTTGGTTGGGGCAGCTCGTAGGCGAGGGTGCGGCTGAGGGTGAAGAACTTGCTGTTGGTAAGTAGGGAATGAGCCCAAGACGGGCAAACCTTCCTACATGTAGATGTATATACACACAATATGAATGTGTGTATAATAACCTATAACATATGCATAAAGCTTTTATAGGCTTGGAGGCCCCGGTGCCCCTCACAAGACAGTGAGTGGCGCCCTCGGCGCGCAGGCTGGGAGGCTGGAGGATACAGGGTTTAGGGTCTAGGGTTTAGGGCTCCACCTCTCAAGCGGTTAACTGACAGTACTATTTGGAGTTGGTATCTGGTGGTTTTTTTTCCGAAATTAGGGGTACCTCATTGGTCCTTATGCTAAGGGAATCCTACTATTTTTGGGATCTACATTGGGGGTATCCGTTTTTCGTGAACCCCCATCTGACAAACATCTAAAACAGTTTTGCAGTGCAGTGCGTTCAAAAGTCTCAAGGCACCGGCAGCCTGCCGATCCACACAAACCAACATTCGAATGCTGGTTAGGGTTTAGGGTTTGGGGTTTGGGGTTTGGGGTTTGGGGTTTGGGGTTTGGGGTTTGGGGTTTGGGGTTTGGGGTTTGGGGTTTGGGGTTTGGGGTTTGGGGTTTAGGCTATAGGGTTTAGGCTATAGGGTTTAGGCTATAGGGTTTAGGCTATAGGGTTTAGGCTATAGGGTTTAGGGTTTAGGAGTGGAGTTGGACCGACCCGCTAGGCCGAAGGCCTCTAAGCACCACAATGGTCTCTAAATCGGGAGCTTTCAAGCACTCTGAAGATCATGGTCGAGGTGCTTGGGTCTAGGGTGCACCCTAAACCCTAAACCCTAAACCCTAAACCCGAAGCCCGAAACCCTAAACCCTATAAACCCTACCTCAGCTAATCTCGGGCTCGCCTGGACTGTCCCTTTTTGCCCTGCGAAAGCAAAGGCCGGCGAAAACTCGGCTTGAAAAAGCCCGGAGGTGGCGCGGAATCTCGCGCCCCAGGAATATCACTCCAGCCATCTTCTATTTTGAGCTTGGGGGGTTCAGGGGTTGATGAGGAACTTGTTCATTCAACATCTCAAAATTCGTGAGCTTGCTGCTTGGTTGCTTGCTTTCAAGCTTCTTCTGCAATATCCTTCGCTGCTTGCTTTTTGTCTACGCCCCTTTTGCAAGGTCCAAGCTTGGCTGTGTGGGCTTTGTGCCATGGACCCCTGGCCCATACAGGGTCGAGGTATATTCTGGCCCCCAAGCCCGCATAGGACCTCGTTTAGCATCCGAAAAATGCAGGGTTCTTGCTATGGAACTGCACATAAGCTGGCGTTCTTCAGGATGCTATACTGACGATACTGTTTGCTAGGTGACCTATGGGAAGTTTGATTCAGTGGATTCATAAGAACGTCGCATAACCTCGAAACTTCCCTACAAAAGTGATGTGCTTAGAGCTGAAGCTTTACGTCTCGGGTTAGGGGCGGAGACCTTGAGGCACGAACACTACCCCGGAGGGGCAAGGGTTTCGGGCTGAGGGAAGTTTAGGGTTTAGGCTTTAGGAGTAAGTAGGGATGAGCGTGACATCTGCCATAGCCATCCTACCATGTGAGAGGTAGTCGAGGGTCCGCTCAGGAGGTCGGGGCGGTCACTGCGACTCAGCCGCCAATGCCTCCTTGAGATACTTCGCCGTCCTCCATAGCATTGGGCGCTTCAGGGTTTCGGGGTTTTAGTAGCCGAGCTTCTGCAAGTATAGGGATTAAGAGCTTGAGGGCTTCTGCGGGCTTAGGGTGTGGGTCTATACTTGCGGGTGACGGTCAAAATCTCTAAATTCAGCCTCTCTTTGGGCCTGGGTACCTGTTCATAAGGAACGCTTTTTGAATTTGTGCAATGTATCTGGTTGCTACTGGTTGGTCGGGGTGCGGGGCCTGAAGCCGCAGCCCAAACACGGTAAACATCTAAACGCCGCCCGTAGGTCCGGAGAGCTCGGTGCATGAGCCGCGGGTTCATGGTGTTAGGTTTAGGGGTTGGGCCAGGGCAGGGGATGGAGGAGGAGGAGGAGGGACGAGGAGGAGGGACGAGGAGGAGGAGGAGGAGGAGGAGGAGGAGGAGGAGGATGCAACACATGTCGGGGTCAAGGCAAAACTTTGCGGATTACACACCGTGAAGACGCTCATTCCCAATCTAAAACTTCCCAAAACGAAAACTTCAAACCTAGACCCTCCGTAACCCTAGACAGTAGCCCTGAATGTAGCCTTAAACCTGAAACCCTAAACCCGAAACCCCCCCCTCCCCCGAGTAGAGCCTAGACCCTCGAGTAGGCGGCACAAAAGCTGAGGCTCAGGCGGCGCACAGCGACTGAACCTTTCGGTGGTCGGGTTTTAGGGTTGAGGATAAAAATATTTCGGGTTTAGGTTTAGGCTTCACGGTTTAGGGTTTGGAGCAAAACTCGGGGTTTGGGCTTAGAAGTGTCTAAGGTGCTGGGGATGTAGAGATTCTGGCCCGCCGCCCTTATCCCTAAAACCTTGGGAAGCCTTCAGCCCACCACGAAAATTCAGACCCTCTACGCCTCAAACGTTAGGCCTCCAGGCACCACCACAACAGCCCAACAAAGCTGCGAAAAAAACCCTAGATGCCGAGATGTCTATATCAACCCCAGACCCAAAGCCTTATAAATGCCTCTGTAGCCTCTAAAGCGCCCTGAAAAACCAACATGCGCACGCCCGATACAGGATCTCAGACCCAAAACCTGAAAAGCGGCATACGGAGAAAGCCAAGCCTGAATCACAAAAGGCTTGGAAGAAACTCTTAACTATGTAAGCATTGTAAGCATGTAAAGAAGAGCATTCGATCGATGGTGGTTGCTTTGTGACACGAAGAGTATTACTAAAAGATAAAAACTATTTACATCAGTATGAATGTTAGCATTTATGAGATCTTTAAACATTGACAAAGTAGTCACAATATAAGCTCAAACTTGATCTGATGGCCTCTGCACGAGCTCCAGCGCGGGCCCGGGCTCCGCGCCCCGGGTGACGAGCTCGCGCGCCACCTCAACATTCCTAAGGTCCTAAACCCTAAACTCTTAACCCTTTTCAACCCTGAACCCTACACCCCAAACCCTTTGAACCCTGAACTTTAAAGCCTGAAATCCCTAAACCCTAAACCCTAAACCCCAAACCCCAAACCCCTAAGGATTCGGCACCCTCGGCTATCGTAAGTCGCACCCCACAAGTCGCCGCCTCAATCTGGTTGAAGAGCGCGGCCAGCTTCAACGCCGTCATGCCATCCTCGTCCTGCGCCTGGGCCCAGGGTTTCGGGCTTAGGGCTTAGGGCTTGGGGCTTGGGGCTTAGGGTTTAGGGTTTAGGGTTTAGGGTTTAGGGTTTAGGGTTTAGGGTTTAGGGTTTAGGGTTTAGGGTTTAGGGTTTAGGGTTAGGCTTTAGGGTTCAGGGCTTTGGGCCCAAGAGCCCATTCACATCACACAAAATCATGGCACACAGCACCACTACTCCCATCATTTGTTCCCCCACGCCCAGCACCCCAACGCGAAGGAGAGGTTTGCAGGGGCTTAGGGTTCTTAAGCTTCGGTTGAAGGTTGCTTGTTATTCGGTTGCCCAGTAATTACGAACAGGTAACCTTTCAGGGTGAAGTGACCCTAAACCCTAAACCCTAAACCCTAAACCCTAAACCCTAAACCCTAAACTCTAAACCCGAGGTTGTACAAAGGGATCTTGTATTCTTGAGGTGCCGAGGAGCCTTGAGCCTCAATCCCGCCTCCAACAAAATGTTATGACCCTAGACCGTAAAACTTCAAGGGTTTCGGGTTTAGGGTTTATAGGGTTTAGGGTTTAGGGTTTAGGGTTTGGGGTTTAGGGTTTAGGGTTTAGGGTTTAGGGTTTAGAGGGTTTAGAGGGTTTAGAGGGTTTAGAGGGTTTAGAGGGTTTAGAGGGTTTAGAGGGTTTAGAGGGTTTAGGGTGGGAAGCCTAGTCCGCAAACCCTCCGCAGCCTGAAGATTGGCGCCTGCATCAAGGAGCATCTTCACCTGGCACAGAGATTCGGGTTAAGGGCTTATAGGGCTTATGATGCCTAGGGTTTCGGGCTTAGAGGGCTGACTGTGGAGTGGGGGCCAGACCAGCATGACTCGTGGGCGTTGTGGCATGGGGACTGTCAGGTGCCCCCAACAAAACCTTTTAGGGTTTAGGGTTTAGGGTTTAGTGTTTAGGGTTTAGGGTACCTAGAAGGAACCCTGCATGCGGGTGTCTTCCTCAGTAGCCCTAAGAAATCCTTTTGAGAAAGCCCGAAAGCCCCCCAAGAAACGACAGCCCCAAAGAACACACCTCATTTAAAAAGACAATGAGAACATAAAGCCCTGAAGCCCTGAAACCCTGTCCCCTAAAGAACACAAGACCAAAACCGTTATTAAAAGCATCATGCCCTAAGGCCCTAAATCCTCGACCGGCCTCTCCCTTGCAGCCCTCCTTGGCGGCCCAGTGCCTTGCAGCAGCTCGCAGCCGATTCCGCGCGTTTTCGGTTTTGAGTTTCTGGGGGGCCCCAAACCCTAGACCCTAAACCCTCAACCCTAAACCCTAAGCCCCAAATCCGACAAACCCGAAAACCTACGGTTAACTAGGATTTGGGTTGAGGGCATACAAACTGCGTAGGGCTTCAAGCTGAGCGCTTCGAGGCTTTCGATGTTCAGGCGTTTTCGAGGGAACGGGCGCTCAGACGTC